TCACCTTAAGATTTGTGCATATTTTGTTTTCTTTAATAATGATACAAGATCAAATATTGGAGCCTTCGCTGAAAAGCTTGGGCCAATAAGTTTCTTTTTTCACGAGACGCAATCGGAGGGTCACCTCGCCGATGGCTTGCCTCTTCAACAACACCCTCCGAAACGCGATAAACCCTCACGTACCCTCGATAGGGTGATGTTAAACAGTAGGCTGAGCACAGACAATGTATTTAGGCGCGCTCAGTGTCACCATTAGACGGCGGTACATCTCCACGAATCAGAGACCAGTGCCTACTCAGCACGCTCGGGCCAGTGACACCTGGATTTCCAGCATCTATTCAAAGGATGATCCAAATATAAATACAGAAAAAGGAAGTTGCAAGTATTGTCGCCTGTAATACTCGCTTTTAGTGGAGCTGGTGCAAAGTAGAATGCAGGCTTCTTGGATTTGCGCTTGAACTATTCATTACCGATACTACATTCTACTAGCAAATAAGAAGAAAAATGTTCACAAGTTAGCCCCTCTATCTCAGTTCTACAAATAAGGTAAAGGGAAGATGGCTGCAGTACGCCTACAGCGGCTTCTACGGCTCATTGACGAGTCCCGTCCATTTCAGCATGGATCAAAGGGGCATTTTGCCTCACAAAAACTTGAAATGGCATACCGTGAAATTAACTTGCTGGCAGATACGTCACTTATGGACCTCACTGCAGGTAAAGGCTAGGCAAATAAAGAAAATTTGGCCAGGAATTTTACTTAAGGTTACAGATATTGTTTCTACCGTTGGAAGACCTTGAAATAGCGTCCGCACTTGGTAGAGGCTGGATTGTCTTGTTACTTCTAAGCTTTCGTCTCGATCCGCTTTCTTTTTCACCAGATATGATTCTTGCTTTTTGCTTACACGCCTGCGCTCACGGGGACGAGGACAAAGCGAGTCACGTTTTTCAGGTTGGTCACGCGAAAATCATATCCCCTTGTCGTATAAAGCATAGCAGTTATTCCCATAATGGACTGGCCAATATTACATGGAGCAATACGCTACCCGCAAACAGCGTGGAAACCCACATTTGTGTTCTTGCGAACTCACAAAAGCTCTTCGACAAAGTTGGAGCTGCAAGCTCGCAAACAAGAGCAAATGGACTGCTTTTCCGGTGAGTTTGTGTTGCATGCATTTCGTAAAGCGGTTTTAAAAAGCTGCAACAAAAATAACGGGCCTCCAGTGCTTCATTAACGCCATCAATGCTGCAGTCTTTGTGTTCCCGTTTACAACTGGACAGCGAGAGTAGGGGGCTTCTTTGTTCTGCAGGGCATTCTTGGAAACTAAACAGCTGCAGAAAGCTGCTGTGAAGGGTATAGTTGTACTAGAACAACATGTGGAAGCGTTCCAATTCGTAGAAAAAGCTCTTGTAATCGCCGGTGAAGAGCCGCAGTCAGCACCGTATGAGATTGACTGGGATGCACCTGCTCTGTAGTCCTGTCTTGTTATAAGAATACACAGGTTCCCTAATAAAGTGTTTCTCTGAATATTCCCAGCACGGACCTGAGTGGGATGAAGATAGTATGAGCAGGAACTGGGCGCGCGACACTTCTATCATGAGCGCCTGTCCTTAGGATACAGTCCTTCCATAATGCGGGCACATGTGTAAACTGTCTTACCACAGAACGGGGAGTTTCAGGCACCACGCCATCAAAGTTTTGTTGGTTCTACTGAAGCCATTTGCTAGGCCAGTTTGGGCTCGCAGCTTCTGCAACAGTTTGGAGAGGATATTGCCGCTTCTACAGTGAGATGAATGGGAGAGCTTCAAGCGCCACCAAGGCAACTAAGTGAGGCTGCAGAGTAAAGTAGTCTGATTTGACGGGCCGCTCAGCCACTCTGGGGCTTTTGCTGCAGGCTTCAAGAAGCGCCTACATCGAAGGGTCTTGGAAAAAATGCCAAAAGCCTACAGGCTGCAGCATCTTCAGTTTCTGTAGGCCAAGGTCAAGGAACTGTTCATAAAACTAATGATCCAGGCGAGTTCAAACTCGTCGTATCTTTTCTTCTTTACGCAGCATTTTGTTTTGAGGATGGAGGCCGACGCCAGAAAGCTCAAAAGGTCTGGCTCTAACATTGTTGCAGTGAACAAGATACACATGTTACTGTGCTCGCAGCTATAAGCAAACAGGAGAGTGGACATGCCAGTACGATCAGCTATACGTTTAAATGACTGAACCCAGGGGAAAACCAAACAAATGAAACTGCTCTGTTCATCTCAGAACTATGACGTTCATTTCAGGTTATTGAAGATGCCATGCAATTATGCGCTGAAGCCAACGCTCTCCATGGGCGTCTACCGCAGTGGCGTAAGTGCCTTAACCTTTTGGAGCGCAAGCTAGCAATGTAAGTGATGACCCAACCCCCCAAATGTTTTTAGCTGTACATGCTTCTGTGTAAGATTTGGAAAACCACAATACTCATGGATGATGTTAAAGTGGTTTCAAAGGAGCAGACTTCGGCGGACCATTCAATTTAGCGAGTCTGCTGCAGGATTCGTGGGGGATTAGGAACACTGGGTGATGCCGTCGGCCCAATTCCAGCAAAAGTGGAATTTCCACACTGGTCAAATGCAGTAGAAGCAGCGATATCTCTTCTGCGACTTCACGGGAAGGCAGCTCACACAGCTGGATCAAACACTCTACAAAATGATCACTTTGCGGGTCCTAGAGCAGAGACCCAGTGCAGTGAGCTTTTGAGAGCTTGGGCAACTTTGGACCCGCACTTGCCACAAATTGTCCGGGATGAGCTTATTATCAAGGGATCAGCTCAGGCTGTTAATGCCCAGCTGCAGCACCTTCAAAAATCCATTGAGGCTCCTCGAAATGCGGGGGAGAACGAACATTTTGCAGGCTACTTAGTAGCCAAGGCCGCGCTCACATACAAATTTTGGGTACTTGCTAGAATAATGACGAAGGCCTTGGACAGGTAGCGCTGCAGCGCGCTGTGCCTTAATGGTAGCCTTGTTCTTTTTAGCAGCAGCTACTTCTTAGAATGATTTTGCAAGAAAGGGCACGGCGGACGGAAGGTTCATGCAGATGTGGGAGTGTATGTGGTGTTCCTGGTACAGGTGGCAGGCTGGAACTGCAAACGCCGCGGTGCTTCAACGGATGCTGGACATAGAGACAGAGTTGCGCCTGCATGAATTTCTAACAGAGCTTTACAGCCAGGAAAGTACTAGTCTCTCTGGTCCAGCCAGCCTTTCTTTACTCACCGCTTCTATCCATGAACCATGCCCAATAATAGAGCTCCGCGTGCAGGCTATCAGACGCCTAGATGAGTGTCTTACATCTGTAGCGCATGGAAGCGAAACTGGGGACCTTGTGGAGACCTGCGTCGCAACGATGTGGAATATCGCGAGACCGTGCCTTGGCCCAGAATTTCGGCGGCTGGTCTACAGAAACATGCAGAAGGTTAGCACAGCTCCACAATACATGCAGGGCAGAGTGAGGGTTTCAGCTACTGTATATCGTCAAAGTCTACACGAGTTGTGTTTTATGTCTGCAATACGCTTTCCTACATAGGCCTGTAATGCACTGGATCGCTACCAGTCAAGCCAAATCTCACTTCGAGTGCACCTCTCCCATCAGTTAGCTCAGTGCGAGATAGAAGAAGAGCTTTTCAAAGCAGCACAAACTACAATTGACAAGGCTCTCGAAATAGAATATAGTTACTGTTCTATGCCTTCCTACAAAACTGAGCCAGCTTCAGCGGTTCAGCCCGCGACGAGTGCTACGGAAAATCCCGTCATGACGTCTACTTGCACCCAGGAAACTGCTGCAAACCAAGCCGACCCTGCATATTCACAGCCTCTGACTTGGTCCTTGAGGCGGTTGGGTGAAGTAGTTAGCTTACTATCCCTGACTGCAGGAAACTGCAGTCCTGTTGAGCAGCTCCAGCACATCGCCTTTCGTGTCAGGCTCGCGCAGCCGATATCAACGCTTATTGATCTTGCTGAGGGCCTTCGCAAAAAAGCATTGCGCCTTTTAGCTGATGATGAAGCAAAAAATAGTAGCCGTCAGACTCGCGTTGATCGGCATGGCACAAACAGGCGAGGCATTGTCTCTCCACAACAAGCAATGGCATCCACCGTTCGGAGGCAAGCACTTTCCTTGAGTGGTGAACGTACAGTAAAGTGTATTATAGCATCCTTTGGTCATTTAGTCACCCGCGCACGTGATGTTGGCGACGTTAATGCCACAGCACGAGCTGCAACTGCTATTCTTTCTATGGTCCACGGGACTGAGAAATGTTTGAGTTCACCCGTCCAGAATCTTGAGTCCTTCGACGCGGTTTCCCCAGTTGATCTGCGCGTACGACTAAGGCCTCCACTTGAAACTGAGCTGGCCGTGAACGTTATCGAGGCTGCATATGCGCTGGTTTGTTTTTTGACACGGAGAAAATTAGAGCTGTATTAGCCGTCGTACAGAAGATAACATTAACTTATCTAGCCGCTGCTGTTGTTCTTCATCATGCTGATCCACACAGGCTGTTTGCTGGAGCAAATCAAAAGATATTGGCGCCTGCGGGAATGCTGATGCTTCTTCCTCGTGTCGCACTGCTGACGGCAGCTTTCAACCCCCAGAGCAGCCTTCAAGGAAAGGAAGCCGGAACGGATCAATTGCAAAACCATTTGATGACGAAAGGGAGGACCAGCGAGTTCACAACTTACTTTTGTTTGGGACTAGGCTTAGGTGCGTTCTTGAGCCCCGCCTGATGCATGTATCTTAGCCAGCATTTGGCCCTAAGTAATTATAATGTAAGTAATCTACTTGCGTGTGTTTTCCAACAATGTTACGTGATGCACTGTTGGTAATGTCAAACATGCTTGTATAATAGCGGCTTGGCGCTCTCAGCGAAACTTTTGGGCAAACATGGCTTGTCTTCAACGGAGCAGTTCACACGTGGAACATATATGGAAGCTTCCTCTCAAACAGTCCGGCAAGAGTAGAGGAAATCAGCAGGCTGATGCCAGTCCTAAAAGAAGTCTTCCAGCGGCTTTTGGAACAGCCACAGAATACTTGCGACGTGGTGGTGCACATCTTTACCGAGTTTTGTTCCCGCGCTGCCCTGGTGAGGCAGCTTGGCTTCCCTGAAAGCCGGCCAACAACTCTTCTTGCAGATTGGGGAGCAAGTATCTGCAACGTCGTGGTGCACACTTTTTCTCAACTTTGTTTCCTCTCTGCATTGTTGAAACAATATAGCTTTCCCACAAAACTAATGAAATAATATTGCGTTCGTGGAATTAATATTAGGCTTCACTCGTTAGTGCCCGCATATCAGGCTATTCAAGACTTTGGACTAGTTCAAGAATTTTGTTCCAAGGTTCCCCTCTGGCATATCTCTAGCAGGCGGACGATTCTCGGTGCGCTGCTTCAAGACATTATGCTAAGAGACATACCTCAGCCGATCCTCTCACGTTTGCTAAAGCCACCTCTCACTGCTACCTCAGAAGCCGGCGGAGGATTGGACAAGACGAACAAGGGAAAACAACCCAAGGGACAGGCTCCTGGGCTGATGGAGAACGTTTCAGTGCCCAAATTGACTCCAGATATTTTGGTGCTCCTTCAAATTGAGGTAAGTACACCAGTATGTGCATGGCCGATCAGCATACTAATGTTTCGGAAGAAATGCCTCGTTGTCACTTCAGGATCAAGAAGGATTGAATGACAAACCAGCTGATTCCAAAGAATAGTGACGGTATGTCTTTCCATGACGGTCTAATTCGCCATATCTGCTCATCTACTGCTCAGAAAGCAATACTGGAAAAGGACACTTCCACTCGCGAAAACTTATTGCTTCAATGCGGGGAGCTGCTCTGGTCTGCGACTAGTACCATGGCGGCATCTGCGTCCGTTGAATTGACAGAATCAGTTGAGCGTGTGAAGACTGAATTGTGGGCGCGCCTCGCCGCTGCATCGCTTTCTGTAAATTCTACAGCTTTCCCAGGCTTATCGGCGGCCTACGCACTTCAGGCTCTTGGGGAAAGGTACTGTAAAGTACCGTATAAAGTTCCTCCCGTTACTGACCATCGATTGCATCTGTGGAGGGGAGTGGCACATGTTCTTTCGGGACTGGCGCTTCTAGCTACGGACCTCACCATGTAAGCAGCATTTGCGTGCAGCTGCAACTGAAGTACTGGTGCAGGGACACTTGCTTGCAACTCACCTGACGTTCTGCTGCAGTGACACCTACATCGGGACAGTCTAGAATCAGCATGCAGTTGAGGGGAATGATTGGCATGATTGTCTACAGGCATGGGAATATGTGGGCGATTCGCCATCTACTTCAGGCCTGTGAATACGGGAAAGACTCAGATTGCTTGCCACTTCTGCTCTTTGCAGCAAAGGCACTGTGGAACGCTGCTGCTCCAGTTGTAAACGATGAGTATTACGGAGAACAGGCTTGCCTGGCTGTGAAATCAGCATTGTACATTATACCCACCAGTTGCCGGTCTACTGAGATAACTTTGATAACCCGCATGTGCATGGGACTTCTTTCTTCCCTTTCTTGTGGCAAGAAGTGGGATGAGCTCTTCCGCATGGCTGAAAGCGCAATGCTACTAGTTCCTAAGGTGCTGCATGCTCCCTTGATGAAGCTGCAGATTATTTCTCTGACCCGTTCTGGGGCACCTAATCTTCTTCCTAGAATATTCACCATTGCTAGGAGTGAGACGTCAAGTGAGGCCGACTTGCTGTTATGCTTTGCTCGGCTTGCCCAAAAAGATCCTGGCACTGCGCCAATGGCACTGGAAGCTTATGAAGGAGCTCTTAATCTTTTTGAAGCAGGCAAAGATCCCCATGGGATCATTGTCCATCTAGAAATTGCAGAGTGGCTCCTAAGCTTAGGGCGCTCATGGACAAAGGCCAGCTCACACATTCGTGCTGCTGTGGAACTTCTTAAAGAACTCCAGTCTCAGCAGGCGGTGAGCGGCCAGGGAGATGGCCACAACTAATTACTCAAACAGCATCGATTTTCTTTGTCATTCCACGTCATAAAAATACGGGCGCAATTAATAAAGCAACCAACTCTTCACTCTGTGTAAGTTTTCCTGACCGCGTACTCCATGTTGATAATCTTTGAGTTGCGTGCAGTCAGGGCTTACAGGAAATAACTCGGAGGTAGACGCTGGCTGCCATCAGGACTCAGCAGCGTGCTTAACAAGCTTCATGACCTTTAGTGGCACTTTGCTGAGACTTGACCACTTGTTGCTCCTGCACACGCAAGCCATGAAGATTTTTTATTCTCCAGACCCGGCAGAGGCTGCAGATTCAGTGAGGCAAATGGTTAATTTATCATCACAGATGCTCGAAAATCCCGAACGTCACAGCTCGAACCAGGGATATGATAACGAGAACTTAGTAGGAGAAGGAAGTGACCGGGTTGAGCTTGGTTTGGAACAAAAAGAGGCAAGCCTTTGCTGTTAATTCAGAGCGCGTTGCACTACTCGCGAAATTGCCTAGAGCGCAGCGATCATCAAGATGATAATAGTTGTTGCAGTGGCAGGTTACAAGAAGCTGTGAAAGCCATTTTGTCCACAGACGGATGCTGTGTGTCTATGGGCGGTTATTTAACTGTATCAGGCAACTGTGCAACTGAATCCATGGGCATCTGCTAGCCTTTGTGACCCAGTTCGTTTGGCAGCATCAGGGTCAAGGCGCAGTTCTTCATCAGCCACAGAAGAGACACCACTTTACCACCTGCGTACGCGGGCTTGCGCTGACGAAGGCGGACTGATATCCCTTCTGAAGCCACACACACACAAAGGCACCCTGGCAGCCCGCGACATTTTGTTATGGTCTACCAGCCTGATTATAGGGTTTCGACTTTTAACCAAGGCAGAGGCCCATTTATTTGAGCTCGGGTTAGAAAGCTGGGCATTGCAGCTCACGCGGCTACGGGCGAAAATCACAGAAGCGTTCCTCCTGCTTTCGCTCCAATCGCAGAGATCCACTTCTGTTGAGAACAGCTTTGGAAGCGTGCATCCAGCCGTGTCCCTGCTAGAGGCATCGCTTAACATACAAATATTCAGGGGAGCCGTGGCATGCGGGTTTTTAAATGAAGCTCAACAGTTGTTGCCACTTTTCTCCCCGTCGGCCATTCGATCATGGACAGAAGCACTAGGACAGGTCACTGAGGCTTGCGGAGGAGTTTCAAAAACGCTGGGAAGACAAGCTTGTTGCTTATCTGTTGTGACATTGCAACGAACATGCTCGCTCATATCTATAGGCGAGCTGCTGATAACTCTCGGAGAGCAGTGCTTACTGATTGGGGAGGTCGGTCTTAGTTCTGTGCTGGGCTGCTCAGCCTCCTCCTACTTGCCAAGCCTGCAGGACTTCAAAGACTGCAACCCCAACCTTTTTACTCGGCAGGTGACATTGTTGGCCACGTCTCGGTTTCGCCAGGGTGATGTGAATGGCTCACTGGAGCTACTTGACACGGTCACAAGCTTGCCAAATTTCGCCGAGCTTGAAGTTCCGGTGGCCCTTAACTTTGCTGAGGCTTTATGGGTAGGCTCCATGCCGCTCCAAATACACACATACATACGACAGACTGATACGACTGCTACTATATTGCCGCAAAAGCACATATGAATATGAGTTGAATTATCGTGCAACTTTCTGAGTTCAACCTGTGTCTCAGTGCGTCATACGCTGCACATTGGAACCGAATTTGTAAGAATTACTAAGTGTTAGTGAACTTCAATTGACATTCTGCGTGAGACGTGCAGAACTTACATGCTTCCAGAGGCACTCTTCTGAAGGCTATACCAGTGCTTAAGCTTATTGAGTTGACTTTGGCGGAGCTTGCCTCAAGCACTGCAGCGGGCTTCACCTTGGACAAAAGTGGTAACATCGTAGTCCGATCTCCCGCTTCACATCCGGGATCCCAGCAATTCTCTAGTTTTGCTTCTACTCGAGGCGAAAAGGCCAGCAAAACGGGCGCATGGTCAAGCCGATTTCACCAGTCTCGGTTTGGCAGAGGGGCTGCAACTGCAGAGGTTCCTCAATGGCCACTGAGTCTTACCGTGTGGAAACACCGTCTAAAGGGGCTCGAAGTTGATTATATATTTTCTCTGTACTGCCTCGGATGGACGGCAGAAGGAGGCAGCCTGCATTTCTATTGGAAAGAGAAATTTCTCGAGGCCGTGAATATTTTATCAAACTTGCTGGACCGAACTGAAGAGCTTGGCGTCCCACTGAAACCGCTAAGGGTGTGCGCCACCAATTGTCTTCGAGCAGTTCGTTTCCTACAGGCAGCAATGCGGTTTCTGTGGACAGACCAAGAAAATTTTACAGCGTACCATTGGGAAAGGCGCAAAAGCTCCGCTGCGGAGTTGAGCTACTGTAGCAACGATTCACTTGTAACGCCCGTCGACTTGCAAGAATGCAGTGAAGCTCTTCACAGAGTCCTAGCAGTGAGACTCATTTGAGCTTGAATAGAGAAGCTCTAGCGCTGTTGCAGAGGTCAGGTATCTTTGTTGCCTCCTAATACATAGGTAAATGGTGCTATTCATTGTTTCTAGGCTACTGACTGGCTAATTTGCGTGCCAGGGACTCGACTTGGAGTCAAAAGCCACCTTAAACTTCATTACATCTGGCAGCGGACAGCGCTGTACTCATCAGTCTGCTCTGGCGTGGGCTGACATGGTTACCGTGGCTGGAGTTCACTTGGTCTGTTTCCGCCATCAGCTACAGCTAGTGACTTTAGAATTTTGGAGAGCAGACCTTCACCAAGTTATCGATGGAACACAGAACATTCGTACAAGGGACAACGGCATTGCTCTCCCCTCGGATGCTGCACAGTGCACCCTCCCAAAAGTTTGTGCCGATGAGAAGCGACGTGCCCTGCAGCAGTGGCTCTACGAGAGTCAATATGAAGATGCCTTTTCTCTTAACTCCATGAAAGCTGAGCAGCAACGCCTCGCAGAAGCTGCAGAGGATCTTGGGGCCGTTAGGACTGTAGGTATGTGCCGACGTCAGACTGGCAAGGGTAATGTCTGCGGCGACATCTCCGGCAAGTCCCTTCTCGATGTTCAGTGGGCATGCCAGTGCTCAATGGTGAGGCATCAACAGTCGTTCTTACAGGCTCTCAACAGATTGATTGCACAAGAAAGAGGCCTACAGGAGGTAAGATAATGCTACTGCTACAAAACTAAATAGCAATTTCCACAACTCCCGCGCGAATTTCCGTCAGCGCGAAAGTACAAGGTGAATACGCCGGCTACAGGGGAGATGCTTCTCGGCTTGACGGCGTGCGTGCAGCTGTGCCCATGGGCGCAAGATGAGACACAGGACCAGGCATCACGAGATCTCTGGATTGAAGATATTCGGAGTGCTGTTGCATTTGTGAGTAATTGTATAGGGAGGCGGCGCATGATGCAACATTTTTCCCTGGTGCTTCTAGATTGCAAAACATCCTGGACGACTTTGCATGCGTCACATGAAAGGCAAGATTATACGAACGGACGATGCCATCTGGTGTGAATGCATTGTATCCTTTAGGCAGACAAGGGCGCAAAAGGCCAACAGAGGTGGTTGAACTATCTAGCTGCTGTTTTACATCGAGATCCACGAGGAAATCACAGTCAATCTATTGCTTCTGCTGAGGTCGAAGAAACATTTTCAGCTTGTATTGCGAGTGGCCACCTCACTGAAGCAACATTCTTGGGCGAGGAACTTCTCAGCAGTGTTTTCGGAAATAGGAATGTAGAGCATTTAGACCGCGCATTCGCCACAATCGTCGCTCTACAGGCTGCCAAGGTTGCCCAAATCGCAAAGCTGCTGCAGTTACAACTTATGGACCCACAAATGACAGAGAGCGTCGCCATAGAGGAAGTTCGGCGGTTAAAGGAGTCTTGGAGAGATGCTGGAGCCTTGCCTAGATTTCAAGCTGTCAACAAGTGGGCGCGTAGCTGAGGAAGCGCCCCTTTGCGGTTCAGAATGCTCCCGTTATCCTCCAGTTTGGATATGACCAGTGTAGTCAGCCACGCCTACTTATACAAGAGTGTAGTTGCAAGCCAATCCTTGCGCTATTGTGGCTTTTTCCTTATGTCTCAGGCTGCTTGATTCCCGCTCGTGTTTCACGAGCATGACAAATCTTGCAGACCTAACGCCCTCAACAGTTCTTCATGCATGGCTACCTCGCAACTGTTGCGTTTCCTGCCTCCATTGCGCACGTGGCTTCATTTTTTTCGGCGCTGCCTACCCATATGTCCAGGCAGATGGCTCTTCTGGGGCATGGCGGTTTTTTGTGCAGCGCCGCGCACTTCCAGAATGCCTTTTGACCAGGAATAAAAGGGCTATCCAAACAGAAGAGTCACGAAGCAACAACGTTGGACAAGAGGCATTGCGTTCATCTCTGTATACGTATCCTGACCAGGTTCACGAAGTAGTGGAAGAGCTATTTGAGGCATTAGGTGCACAAATTTTGCACTGGTCCCTATCAACAATGCTTGCCCAAGGTCAATTGGCGTCTGTCAGCGAATCAAGAAGCCATCTGCTGCTCCTCCCTGACATCCGGTTGTCCCATTTTCCCTTCGAAAGCTTGCCTGTGCTAAGACGACTATTTGGTTACCGCATATCAAGAGACTTCAGTCTGCACATGTTTGCGCGTCGGATGCAACATCACGATTCAATCTCTCCTGCCAACCAGCCGAAAAGGACTGTTGCCGAAATGCATTGTGGCTTCTCTCGGGAGTCCTTGCTGTTGCTTCCAGAAGCTACAGATTGCCAAAATCTTCAGAACATGGCAGAGAGTGGAAAACAAAAAATAGAAGAGGAGTCCCAAGTAGCTGGCTTATCTGCCAACGATGGAACTGCAACGGCCAAAAACGCTGATTGCCCGCCAGCCTTCTCAACTCTTCTGCCCCCACAAAGAGAGCCCAAAAGCGACTGGCGTCCCCCAGTAGTTGCAGATCTGTTGTCAGCGAAACGGACTTCTTCAGTGGATGGA